CCATTTCTACGAGGTCTTTCTCGTCCCTTCGGCTGCCCACCCAGCAGTTTTACCAAGTACATTTCAACTGCCCCCGCCCGACTGTCCAGTAAGGAGGGCCATCATCACTCAGTAAAGACACCTGGGACCCACGTGCATTTCTGCCTCTTGTGCAAGTTGCCTCTCACTTGCTGTGGCCCAGTCAGTGCCTTCTGTACAAGAAAGTTTGTCTCATCCCTCAGTTTGTGATCTGGGATTTCATGGGAAGGATTAGAAGTCAGCAGCTCTGGGGTTTGTTTGTTTTTAAAAGAGGTACTGGGGATCGAACCCAGGACCTCATGCGTGCTAAGCATGTGCTCTACCACTGAGCGCTACCCACCGCCCTGCCACCAGCAGTTATGTTTTAAGGATCATAATTCTCACCTGCCTTTGAGCATATATTTCTGTTTGATGTACATTGATATCTCAGCCTAATAGGCCTTCAGGTTGCAAGGAAAATGAGATCAAAGGTCACTTCCCAAATTCCTTGTAAGTCATTGCTTGGACTTTGAATTTAAACATCTGATTCTCAGATGCAGAAGGAGTGGGACTGGATATCTATGGGTTTGAGGTCACTGGAGGTAAACCAAAAAGTCACTGCATTCTTTTAAGCTTCTGAAGTCATAATTAGCTTTCTCGTCTTGGTTTAAGAATAGTCAGCCTTTTAAACTGTGTATCTTGTGTGATGAGGACATTTCTTTCCCCAAAGAAATTAATTCTCACATTAAGGTTTCCTAGTGTTGCTCTCCCAGTGGGATAGGGGTGGAGTTTGCAGGTTTCTGGGTTGAGGTCTTGCTGCCTAATGCCCTGAAATAGGTCTGTTCCTCGCAGCTCCCAGAGTCTGAATGGAAGAAGAGAGAGAGGTTAGCAGAACAAAATCCTGTGGGGCAACTTGCTTAAGAGCACTTTGGGTAGCTAGCACTTAACAGCCATAGGAAATAAACATTGTGTTTATACCTTTGCCTGGGAGTGGAGAGTAGACAGAACATCATTAGGTAATTTAAGTGCTAAATTGGGTGGAGTTTTTAGTATCAAATCACTTCTAGACAGTTTAATTCGTTAAATTCTCACAGGATGGTGATTTATAACCAACCCAAAGTTATGACTATTCTTAGTGCCCTCAGAGGTATAGAGTTCTTTGAGAGACACTTATTTATATAAGTGTCCTAAGTCTGTGGTTCCCAAACCTGACTGATCAGAACCACCTGGGAAGTTTGTTTAAAATTTAAAAAATAAAATGCTTTAAAATTTCTGTTTCCCAGCCTCAAACCTGCTGAACCAAAATGTCCAGGGGTGAAGCAGGGGAACTTGGTGGTGGTGGTTTTCAAAGCTCCCCAGGTGATTCTGATCAGCTTGGTTTGGAAGCCATTGCTGGAGAACTTGGTAAAGATACAGAGACCCAGGCCTTCTCTGTGGAAATGATCCTGGGCTTCCATAGGCTCTGTTAGCCCTCCAAATGGTTTTGATGCACACCAGACTTTGAAAACCACTGTCCTAAGAGAGAGCAGAGGCCAGACATCAAAAAGAGCCTTCAGTGGCTGGTTGGTTTTTAATGCCAGTTATAAATTTTGCACAGTCTTTTGAGACATTCAGGTTCTTTTTTGTATTACCCTTTCCAAGTAGAGTTTTTATTACAACGACTCTGCAAATAATAGTGGAGTAACAAGTTCTCTGTGAAAAGAAAATTGATTTTATATTCACTGGTTTGAACTCTTGCAAAATCACAAATAAATGGGAAATGCATATTATAGTCATGGTCGTTACTAGCCTTTAGTGTGAGTTTGTTAAAGTGTTACTTTATACTGAGAGTATTGTGAAAATGGAAACTTTATTTTTTAAAATAACTTCTTTAAAAATGAAGGTAAATGTTACTCTGTTTATCTGTAAATTTACTAGTACCGATTGCGCCATTCAAATTCAGTACTTGGTGTAACTCCCCAAATACTGCTTGTTAGTGTGACCATTTTAAAAAACTGAAAATGCTTTCTTTTCCCACTTGCTGACTCAGGATATTCCTGCTTTTTCAAGCATTGCTGGAGGCTGGCCTGCTAGTCCTTCTGGATTTTATCTCCCAATTGGTGAACATTATGGGCCTGAAACTAATTAAAGAAGAAATTGAAATATAACTAATTTCTCTCCATGTCCCCATTCATAAAGAAAAGGGAAAGCAATTAAGATAAAGAAGAAGAAAATATTTACATGATTAGAAGTGTGATTATACTAAAAATAATTAGATCCTATCATTTGGATGCAACCTCTTGGGTAAAATTGTTTGGAACATGGATATCATTGTAACCTTTCCTTAGAAAAATGTCCATATTTGAGACAAGGTGCCCCTCCCATCATTCAACTGGTTTATGGCCAAAAAGGAAACATAAGCACTCCCTGCAGAGTGTTCTGAGAGACCCAAGGAAGGGCGGAGAACAGAGCTGTGGGATGGTGACTGCCCTGGCTTGCTACTTTGAACAGAATAACTGAGTGATCAAGCTGGGAAGGGACCACAGGTCAAGGAAGGCCCCAGCAGTGAGGGATGGTTTGCTCTTTTGCACCACTGATGAGCTGGAACTACTCCAAGATGATTTCCCTAACTCATTTCCTTCGCTATTGCTAAGGAATATTTAGGTTCCTCATTTTTTCCTTTTCTCTCCAGATTTAACTCTTTTCCTTTGGTGGTTTGTCTTCTGTCCTCAGGACACTGTCCCATCTAACATGAGGCTTTTCCTGCCTGTCATCCTTTTGTAGGCAGTGGCCTGCTTTTGACATGATCTAAGGCCATGGTTAGAAGATGGAAAAATCTCCATGGTAGCTATTCCATAAAACCCAGTGATCAGATGCTCAAGGAAACAAACCTATGTCCTTTTCTCCTTCACCCCACTTGGTTTACTCTGTATAGGAAGAGTCCTCAGCTTAATAAGTGAGTCATTTATTAAAGCCAAATAATCCCCCAAAGCTGTGAGTTGGAATAGGTAGGAAGCCACTAGGAAATGTGTGTTGGTAAGAACGCTACATACATTTTTGATTCAGCCATAAATACTAGAGACTTGAGAATATATCTGCATGTGACCTCTGTGGTCCTTAGAAAAACCTGCTTCTCTTTGGCTTTCAAGCATAATCTGAATTCTCTCCAGTTTTATCTGCAGTTTCAGTATAATAATGGTATATCTCTCCCTTAGGGTGCTCTAGGAAAACAGAACTAGTAAGATGTCTGTGTGGGGGGGGTGTTTATATACACATACACAAAGGGATTTATTATAAGAATTTTGCCAGTGTGATTATGAAGGTTGGCAAGCCCAAAACCTGTGGAGCTGATGTCCCAGTTCAACTCCTAAGGCTGGCAGACTGGAAGAGCTGATATTGCAGTTTAGAGGCCACCAGGCAAGAGAATTGTTTCTTACTCAGGCCAGGGTCAACTTTTTGTTCTATTATGGCCTTCAACTGATTGGGTGAGGCCCACCCACATTAGGGAGAACAATCTGCTTTACTCCATGTACTGATTTAAATGTTGATCTCCTCCAAAAACACCCTCACAGAAACACGCAGGGTAATGTTTGACCAAATATCACTCCATGGCCTAGTCAAGTGATGCACAAAATTTACCACTGCATTCATTTAATATTATGTTATGCTGTGGTGGTGCTGTTTTGATACCTTTTCTTAAGATTCTAATTTGATTTACACCCAAAGTCCATCCAATTAGAAACTAACTACATATTAATGGGAGTAAAGAGGAGAAAGCAGATAGGAAAGGAAGATTTTATGATTTATCCTGATATGAGAAGGGCAGTGCAGTAGTCCTGGATGCCAATATCTGATTTGGTACAAACTCTTCCCTCAGATCTGTGAGTTGTGTGTGCTTCTTACACTATCTTGGAAATAAGAAAGCAAATATTTCTTCCTACTTTATGTTTGAGGGAACAAGTATCTCAAAATTTGACTGACTGAAAAGCAGCCGGTTGAATTTGTAATAAAGCCAAGACATAACTGCAAATCTTCTAATTTCCCCATCTCCATTCTGTCATTTACTTTCTGGGAAGCATCTGACCTGAAAAACCTATTTTAGAAAACTAAGCCCAGACATTTAGAGAAACAGAACTGTCCCCTTCTGGGTTTGAAACTCTTGGTCTGTGTTACATAGATTTTGAGACCATGTTCACGTGTGGAATAAAGACATGGGTAATTAAATTTGGGACCAAATTATGTGTGACTTGAATAGCATGCAGTGCAGCTATGTCCTGAGATGTTTGACATGTTCCACTTACTAAGATATGCCACCCAAATGCAATGAGTGTCTTTTAATTTTGATTATCCGCTTTCTTGTTTGCAAGTACAGAGATTTTTTTAAACCTATTTTTTATTCTTATCCATTATAGTTTATTACAAGATACTGAATATAGTTCCTGTGCTGTGCAGTAGGACCTTGTTTATTTTATATATATAAGTACAGGGATTTTAACAGTCATTCCATTTTCAACTGTTGCTGCCAGTAGTAACATCTGAGTGTTTTTGGAAGCCAAGTACATATTCTTCTAAGCATTTCACATGGATTTATTTTTATTTTCATGATGACCCTATGATTCTACATTATATAGAGACTTAAGGCACAAAAATTAAGACTTTGCTCAAGGTTAGACAGCTAGTGAGTGGCAAACTGACTTTTAACCTTAAGCAGGATGACTCCAGAAACTCCCTTTACTACATACAATACACTGCCTCCCATTTTGTATGTGTGTGTTTTGGTGGTGGCATCCTTAAAGTTTCCCCACATAATAAACTTTCTGTATGGTGAAAATAAAGAGTAATTTATTAAATGGGCATACAGGTTTTCAAATACTTTTATAATGAAAAATTTCAATCTATTCATTAAGGAAAATGGAGAAAAGAAGGAAAATCCAAACCACCTATAGCCCCACACCCCAAACAGAACCTATTTACATTTTGATAAATTTGTGTTCAGTTCACTTTTTTAACTTTTTTTTTTTTAATGGAGGTACTGGGGATTGAACCCAGGACCTCCTGCACGCCAGGCATGTGCTCTACCACTGAGCTATATCCTCTCCCATCAATTCATTTTTTAATGCATGGATTTTTTTCATATAATTGTATTCACATTTCAATCATTTTTGATTACATACCTTTTATGTATCCAGTTTACAGTGGGGGGTATAAAGATCTATGCCATAGAAGTCCAAAGAAGGAGGTCAAAAAAGATTTCTTAAAGGGAAGTGAGACATGAGATGGATATAAATCAAGAAAGAAGTGGGAAAGGATTTCAGGTTGGGAGAAAAGGAGGTTTAGAATTTTTTACACAGGTTTAGGAAGTAGCCATGACCAAAGGGCTCCTGTTGTACAGCAGTGGGAAATAAGGTTAGAACGAGCATGGACAGGTTGTATACGTCATTAATTTAACCAGTAGTGACATACTTACCATGTACCAGGTACTTAATTAGATGCATGGGATGAAGGCCTGGGGAAGAGAAGGTTTCTGTCCAGGAAGGGCGGTCCAGAACGGGGCCAGAATGTAAAAGGACAGCATCTCGCTGCAGGAGGCTACTTCTTGCAGTGATGGAGGACAAGGAGGAAGATCAGGAAAAGCCTCATGGAAGAGAGGGCAGTCCAGCTGGAGGAGAGCTGCCAGCTGGAGAACAAGAAGAGACGCAATTTTAGACAGAATAAAGTGAATAAAGGTATGAGGCCATGCAATAAACAGCAGAGCTTGCTTGAAGGACAGTGGATGTTTATTACAGCTGAAGCTGTGCAGGGTTGGGGAGGAAGAAGGGGACTGGGAGAAAATGAGGTTGGAGATAGAGCCAAACAAGGAGAGCTCCATAGGCCATGCCAAGGCATTGAACTTCACCTTGTAGTGGAGAACTGTTAAGGGTTTAATTGCTTTTTTAGTATTTTTTTCTTATTGAAAAATACATAAACATTATTAGTTTTGTTTAATGGCTTAAAACAACAGAAATTTATTTTAGAATTCTAGAGATCTAAAATGGGTCACAGTGGGCTAAAAGTAAGTTGTTGGCAGGGTCGCATTCCTTTCTAGAGGCTACAGGGAAGAATCATTTTCTTACCTTTTCTGTCTTCTCGAGGCCATCCACGTTCCTTGGCCCATGGTCCCTTTCTTCTGTCTTCAGAGCCAGCAAAGGCTGGTCAAGTCATTCTCACATCTTGTCTTTCTGACCTTTCCTGTCCCCATCTGCCACTTTTTAAGGACCCTTGTGATTACATGAGGTCCACCCAGATAATCCAAGTTAATTTCACATTAAGATCAGCTGATTAGCAACCCAATTCTCCTCCCCACATTCACAGGTTCCAGAGATTAGGTCATGCACCTTTTTTCAGGGACCGTTATTGTGCCTACCACAGATGGGAAAACTGAGGAATAGTGGGTTAAAGAACTTGTCTGGGGGTCACACAACTAGCTGGTAGTAGAGCCAAGAATAAACATTATTTTTAAGATTCAAACGATGCAGATATTTTGTTAGAAGGAGATAGAAGTCTTTCGTAACCTGACTTCTGAAGACAACCTGATTAGGAGTTTGAATATTCTTCCAGGTTTTTCTCCACATATGCAGTCTCAACTATACCACCACTTCCCCTTAAAAAAGAAGAAAGGCTCATATGAGGCTTTCCGCAACTTGCTTTTTTTCTTTTTAATGTATCTTGGCCATCTCCCCATGTAAGAACATACAGTTCTACCTCATTCCTTTTCATTGCTGCATAGGATTGTTTAGATGTATTACGATTTACATGACCAGTTATCTACTAATGGATGTTTGGGTTCTTTCTTTTTACTCTCTCACAAATAATGCCACAAACTAACATCTTTATATATTTTTAAACTTACATGAAATCTTCTTTAGGAGCTCCTAAAAGTGAGTCAAAGAGTATACACAGTTTAAATTTAAATATAGTGCCAAATTTTCCTCCAAAATGTTGATACCAACATATACTCCCACCAAAAGGATCTCAGGGGCTAGTTTTTACCTATATCCCCTTAACAAGACTATATTCAACTTCTACCAACCTGAGAAGTAAAAAAACAAAATAAAAAAACGTTTGTTTTTTTTTTTTGTCATGGGTGAGCGTATATTGGAATGTATTCGTCATTTGTTTTGTTAGTCACCTGTTTGTATCCTGTGTCTGTTTTTATTTTGTTGTCTTTTTCTTAGTGCTTTTGTAAACGCTCTTTGTATTTTAAGGATATTAACCTTTTGTCATACATATGGCAAATGTTTTCCCCAGTTCATGGAGAGATTTTAAGCAGAGTAATATTAGATTTGTGCTTAAGAAATCTCTCTGGTAGTAGCTTAAATGCTAATATAAAGCATTCATACTTTATTATGGGAGCTATAAGGATGTATTGAAAATTTGAGTATAGAAATGACATGAACGCTGTGCTTTGTCTGTTACATCTACCACAGATTACAAAAAAAGAAGAGAAGGGAGAAACAGTAGTTTAAGCATGAATGATTAGCAATGGAAATGGCGAGTGAAAAGTGAATTTGAGACAAGCAGTGAAGAGAGAATCAAGAGGTTTCCACTAAGAGTGAGATGTCAGGACAGAGTCAGTAGCACCAACGATTTGAGCTTCGGTGATTAAGGATGCCGCTGACAGAAATAGAGGAGTCAGGAGGAGAATGTGAGTAGGGGGGATAATTGGTTTGGCAGAGATAAATTGAGCTTGTGGATATCCAAGTGGAAATGTGTGTTAGGCAGTCAGGATACTGGGCTGGAACTCAGAGAGAGGCAGAGAGGCTGGCAGTAGTTGGTGGAATCATGCCCACACTGGGTGTGCTTGGAATAGATCAGTTCTCCTTGGAACGGATAGGAGATAGTGGAGAAAGAGCGACAACACCTTGGACGTTCACGGTGGTGAAGGATGACTGTCATCACTTCTCATCGCCACCTTTTCTCCATCTGTAAGCTGTGGGCAGCCTTTGTTAACTCTGTTCCCAGGGCTCAAGGTTTGTTGTATTCTGTTGGAGGAATAAACCAGCTGTTGGATTTGGGATTTTTCTTTCAGCGAAGACAGTATGAGTCATTCTATCTCCCACAGTGCTTCACAGTGTACAAACTGCTTTCACAAGGGAGCCCTTTTTGTTATTGTTGTTTTGCCAATCTTATGAAGTAGGTAAGGACCAATAATAATTATTCCTATTGTACAGATGAAGAAGCAGAGGCACAGGAGTTTAAAATTTGCTGAAGGTCACCGAGGTAGTAAATCATGGTGCTCAGGGCCTATATTCTTGATTACAATTTCAGTGCTTGAGGCCTCCCCTTTCAGCAATGTTCACTTAACAGTATTTGTTAGTGGTTTAGATGGATAAGTCCTCAAAGTTACAAGGGTAAATTTTCTATGGATTTTACTAGTGTTGAGCAGAACAACAAGTATTAGTCTATTGGGTTTTTCTTCCCTTCAATTTAAACTGGATGTCAAGATTTACATCCTTTTTGTTTTAGTAGCAGAAGTCCCCCTAAACTTACCTCTTAATATTCTTAAAAGTAGAGAGGAAGATGGAAGTCTGGAGCAGAAGAAATATACACTTGAGAAATTAATTAAATTTAAATTGACTTTGGGTCCAGTCAATGTGACCTGAGGCAAGGGATCATCCTCCTTAACCATGAACCTATCTCCAAGCCAGTTATTTGGCCTCTGGGGTTGCAGAAGAACTAACCAGACATATGGCTCTTCTGTCCCATCCTTTCTTCTGAGTGTTGTGATAGGTCAGAGAGTCAGCAGGTTGGAGGCAGAAGATTAAAAAAAAAAAGTCCAGAGAATCTGTCTGTAAATTCCTGGCAGGGTCTTCAAAGACAGATGCCTTTCCTAACTATGTAAAGTGATAGATGGGTTAATTACCTTGATCACAGTAGTCATTTCACTAAGTATATGTGTATCAAATCATCACATTGTACACTTTAAATTCATACAATTTTATTTGTCAATTATACCTCAATAAACCTAGAAGGGAAAAAAAAAAAGGACAGTACCTTTCTGAGTTCCTGTGGTCAGTAGAAGCAGTGTCTATGTTTAGATCTGGTTGGCTGTCTTTCATGAGGACAGAGAACTGTGAGTGTCCAGCACAGAGTAAGTGCTCAGAATTTTTTACAATGCTCCCAGCTACTATAACATAGCCTTGAAGGAAAAGGGTCTTTGTTAGGGGAAGAGTCATGAGTCCCAGCCACCCAGCATCACCACTTCTTATCATCTTTAACATCTGCAGAGGGGAAGGAAAAGTCTACTTTTCAAAATATAACTAAAATCATAGGGGAAATTAAGCATTGGGTTTAAAAGACCATTAAATCTCATTTCCAGGGAAAAGGAATAATTGTCTTTCCATCTCTTGAGCTTTTTTTGCTTTCATAATTTCTCACAGTTTTATTACATATATTATCCCTTCAAAGTTAACCGATGGTACTTCTCAGATCTAACTTAGTGTATGATCAGTGTCTTTCTTCGGCTTCCTACAAACTAGTTGTGGTTGAACAGGAGACCAGGGCAGATTTGGGGGGAATGCACTGAAGGGAACTGAGTTGGAGATTGTATTCCAGGTCCTCTTGACAGCCAGGGAGACAGTGCTAGGGTTCTTGTTGGCATAATTTTGTACTTGTCCACTAAAAAGTAAATTCGAAGTTCAAGTCTTAAGTTACTTCCTTCCTGAGAGACAGTGTTTGTTGAAATACCAAATGCATAAACAATTTGTTCCCTTCAATTTAAACTGGATGTCAAGATATACATCCTTTTTGTTTCAGTAGCAGAAATCACCCTAAATGGAGGGAAAATGTTAGCTGAAGCTGAGGTGAGGAGAGAGAGAGGATATGACCCTCACCTTGGAAGAGGAAAAGCCTTCATGCAGTGGCCATCTGAATACTGGCCTTGAAGTAAACTATAGTGCCAAGGTCTGGAAGATCTGCTCTGAACTTTCCACCTGTCTGGACATGTAGACTCTGGCCAGTTCCTTTCATTACTTAATAAATGAGTAACAAGGATTCCTCTATCTCGTCTCACAATAAAAATAATGGTACTTGCTAAAATAATAGCAACCTGACCTAATAAAACAGCCTCCAATAAAGTCACTGGTGATCACTACTCACTACACCAGTCTCTGCACTGGCATTTTGACAATAATATGGATGACAGTACATTTAGTCAAAACATACTTGGATACCCATTAGGATGACTACTATCAAAAAAACAAAATAAGTGTTGGCAAGATGTGGAGAAACTGGAACCCCTTTGCACTGTTGGTAGGAATGTTAAATGGTGCACCTGCTGTGGAAAATAGTATGGAGATTCTTCAAAAGATTTAAAATAGAATTACTATATGATCTAGCAATTCCACTTCTGAGTACATACCCTAGAGAACTGAAAACAGGCTTGAAGAGATACTTGTACACCACCCGTTCATAGGAGCAGTTATTCACAAAAGCCAAAATATGGAAGCAATCCAAGTGTGCACTGGCAGTTGAATGGGTAAACAAAATGTGATACATACATACAATAAAATAGTATTCGGCCTTTGAAAGGTAGAAAATGTTGATACCTGCTACCACATGGTTGAACCTGGAGGACATTATGCTAAGTGAAATAGGCCAATCACAAAAGGACAAACACGGTATGATTCCAGTTAAAAGGTTCCTAGAGTAGTCAAATTCATGAAAACAGAAAGTAGAATGGTTGATAGCAGAGGCTAGGGAGAGGGAATGGGGAATTAGTGTTTAATGAGTAGAGTACCGTTGGGGAGGAAGAAAATTTCCAGAGATGGATGGTGGTGATGTGAACGTACTTAATGCCACTGAACTACACACTTAAAAACGGTTAAAATGGTGAATTTTACATTATGCATTTTTTTTTTATTACCAACAACAACATCAGGGAGAAAGGATGGAGTGACATGGAAGAGGAAATAAAACTAACGCTTTACTGGCAGACTGTGCTACTCTCTTCCAGTAGGGAAGCCAGATTTTACAAGAGCCTTTCAGGAGGTGATAGTGGTGGGTTGGTTGGTTGGTTTCTTTATGGAGTGTATCTTCAGTTGGTTATTAACAGGCTCCCTGCGGCAGGGACTGAAGTCTATTTTACAAAGGTGGGGTAAACCTTGGCCTTTACTATAGGGATTCTGAGCTCTGCCTCTGAGAGTTTTATGCATCCAACAAATGTTCATTCATTTAAATGGAATGATCTAAGTTACCCTCAGTTATTTGACGGGAGTCTAGGGCCAGCCCCACCCATCCCCTCTCCAGGGATCAGGGATTGAATTTAACAAATACTTACATGGCATTTACTGTATGCCAGAGACTGTCCCAAAGCCTTTCCATAATAATCAACTCATTTAATCCTAATAATCCTATGAGTTAAGAACTGTCGTTTTCCATTCTACACATGAGAAAACTGAGGCACAGAGAGGTAAAGTTAGACAACTATTAAGTGATTAAGTGGTAGACCTGAGGTTCAGACCAAAACACTTTCTAGCCCAGAGCTCGTGCTCCTAATCATCAGGCCCATAAAGTAATGACTGTGACTTGGGACTATAACAACCCTGGAATGATCTCAAGGTCCGGAATGGAGAATGGAAATTGGTGGTGAAGTTATTCCTTAATTATAATCCTGGCTCTCTGCACCAGCAGCGGTTGGGCTCTTGAGGACTAATGATGAAGCCAAGAGAAAGGGGTTGTGGGTTTAAGGTCAAAAATTTTGAACCTATGGAATTTCCCTCCAATTGAGAAGCAGCCCATTACTGACGAATCAGCTGCCTATCCCACAGGTTTTGCTATTCGTAGAGTTTCCAGATGATCAAGGCAGGCGAAATGATACATCATTAAACTAACCCTAAACGACACTGAACCCTTCATAAAGCGTTTTTCCTAGTCATCCTAAGATGCAACACAAGACGAATCTGCAACTCTGGAGTGGAAACCAGGGGGCGGGCCGAGCAGCGACCATTTTTGTTTTGCGGCCGTGCGCTCTCAGAGCATCTTGACTAACAGGACCTCACGGAGGAGGCGGGGCCTATCAGTGAGTGGGGCGGAGCCTGGGAGACGTGATGATTCAAACGGACTAATGAGCTCGGCGCATCTGGCAGAAGCCGCCAATGACCGGTCGTGTTGGGGCGGAGCCCACAGGCCCTAGCGGGTTTGGGTGTAGGGCGGCTTTGGCGCATTTTCGGCTGGTTTGATTCATCCATTTTGAAGAGACGGGGGAGCGGGGGGCTCGTCTGATTAAGGGGCCCTGAACCAAGGAGCGGCGGAGTTTGAGAAGCCAGCAGCTCGGGGTTCGGCGGCAGCAGCCCCATCGGCCGAAGTTGGGGGGGTGGGGCGCCGAGCGCGCGGGGTGAGGGGGGTCCCGGTCGTTTGGCTTCTCGCTCGGTCCTGTTTCGACAGCGAACATGTCTCGGCCTGTCAGGTCAGTGCGGAGTCCGAGGCCTGGAAAGGGTTGGAGCGGGTTGGGGTGAGCGGTGAGGGAGTGGGGGACAGAAGCCTAGAGTCGGCCCTCTCCCGTGCCACGCGCGGCCTCCTCCCTTTCGGGGCCCGCGCGCGCCCTTGAGCGTGGGGGGCCTTGCTGGCGCGCGGGGCTGCGCGGGGGGTGGCGGCCGCGCGCCCTTGCGCGCGCTCCTCCCCGCCGCGCGCCGCTGCAGGGCTCTGGGCTGCTCTGCTGCCTCCCCCACTCGCCGCACTGGAGCGGGCGGGGTGTTCCTGAACCGCCAGCAGCCGAAGGGGGAGGGGTGTGAAGTCAGCGCCCCCACCCAGGCCCCACCTCCTCCGGGCCGGCCCCTTGGAGCCCGCCGCGGGGACCGGCGGACTCGGCTCGGCCCCCACCCTAATTGAGGAGGGGCGGGGACGCCGTGTTGCCTCTTCCCTCTTCTGCTTGCGTGGGGGTGGCGGGGACTCTGCCCTCTTTTCTCTAGCGGACGGGGGTGTTCCATGGAAAGGGGGAGGGGCAGCACTGCCTCCGGGCTCCGCCTCCGTCCTCCAGGGTCGCTGCCGGGCCCCGCCTCCCGAATCGGGCCGGGCGTAGGCGGGACCCGTTCTTTCCCCCTCCGGCAAAAGTGAGAGTTCGGGAGTAGGCCCTGGAAAATGACTGCTGCCTATCCCCTAAGTCGGAGTTTCGAGCTGGTTAACCCTTCCCCACCTCCCCCACCCCCGCCCTGAGTTCGCACTTTCCTTGCGACTAGAAATGTCCTTCCTCGGGGAAATGTCCCTACTCAGGGAGGTGCGGGTTAACAGCACGACCCAAATCCCGTGTGGTTCTCGTTCCCGCTACTTCTCTCTACTCCCACCCGGCGTACACGGCTTGGATGTTTTTGTAACCCTCTCTTTACCCCCGAATAACTCTAATAATAAAGGGGCTAGTTTCGGTTAACCGTTAGGCTTCATTCTGAGAATTTCAACAAGTTTGTTGTTCCCCAGCGGACGGTGGAATCGCCCTTTGCCGTCCTGGCTATTGTATGGAATGTGCCATTTATGGAGGGGTGTGGCTTACTCCAATCTTTTAAGGCCTTGAGGAGAGCTGTTGCAAATAAATGTGATTTTTAATGTAATGTCTTGACGCTTTCAATGTAAGGAATTGGCTACTTTGCGTAGTGTTTTCTAGATAAATAGGTAAAGGTTTAGTTTTTTTTAATGTTTTAACAGTTGTTGCTTCCCCTTCTTCATTCCAAGTTTTGTGAGAAACTGAAGTATTTTGACCTAGACCTCTAAAGGGAGGTTTGGAACCCAGGAGAGGGTTTTTGTTCCACACCGTTCTGTCTCCTGACTAGATCATCCGTCTCCAACTGGTGGTGGTATGGGACTGCACACTCCTACGCTCGGGGTGGGCAGGAGAGTGCTAACTAACTACCTGACTGCTTTTCTGCCTCCTAATTTCAACCCGCATCGCCAATAACTCACCATCGCCACCGAAGAGTTTTGCCGACTTTATGGCACGGAGTCTTAATATTTCAGATGATAGTATGCATTCTTTTTTGGGGGCATAATTGACCACTGTATTCCATCAGTTTATGTAGAGTATTTTCTTTAGGATCAGGACGAATAGACTATCATAATAAAGATTTGTTTCATCTGGATTGGATCTTCTGTCTTCTGGGAGTAAATTACTGTGTGGTGAAATTGGACTATTATTTTTCTCTACCTTTTAACTGCAGTTTACTAGGTTTTGATAACTTTTGATTTTATTATTGTAACTTTCTTACACACCTGAGTTTGTGTTCCCAGATATAGATGTTGGAACACGAACAGAACTTTTTTTACTTGAAAGCTTGGGTTTTTTAATATCACCAGGTGGGGATAAATACACTAAGCGCATTCTATTCGCTTTTTGAAGGCATTGGGATTTGTGCACAACTTTTTTCTTAATCAGTATGTTAAAAGTAATTTTAACTCTGTTTATTTGCCCCTACTTGAAGAATGAAGTTAATATATTGTGAGCTTTTTGGGTCGCTTTCAAATTATTAATTTCAAAGCAACTTGGTTTCTGATTATATATTTTAGTGATGAAGTCTCTTTGTAATTTTTTTTTAAAGTCTTTAACATACTCTTGACCAATAATAAAGCAGAAATAATTAAACTTGAGTTTGGTGGTTTGTTAAATTTTGCAATAAAAAAGTTCTGTCTTAGGGAAGTGCTTTTGTTTCCAGGTGTAATTTAAGAATCTGTGTGCTTGAAGGAATTTAACAAAAAAAGATAGATATTGATCCAATATCAGGATGATCAACCTTGTATAAAAACAAACCAAAAAAAAAAAAGCACGTGTTGGAGAGTAAGTGTCCACTCACCTTCTTTTGGGATGTTTCTGCCCTTAGGCCTGTATAAAATTTTGAGGGTTTTCTGGTTTTCATCTTTACTGTAACTAGTATTCATTTTTATTTTAATATTAAGCATGTAAAGAAAATTTAGAAATGTACTAAATGGCTGCTTGACACCAATTTCCAAATGAAGGGAATGATGAACTGATAGCTACAGCAGGGTTTTCTATAAACATTGCGCAACACATACCGAAGTGGTTTTGTTCATACAGTATTGGCTACCTTCACGTTTTACAGTATCTGCCTCATGTATAAATGACAGCTCAAATATTTTAGGACTTGGATTCAAATTTATAGCATAAAATTATAGTGTTAGAGCCAGAAAAAAACTTAGGCAAATTCATTTTACAAGTGACTTAATGTGGGGACCTGGACAAGTGCAGTACCTTGCATCACACCCTAGTAGGTTCCAAGATTGGGCCTATAACCTAGATTTCTTAATTCCCAGTCCTGCTTATCCTCACCTTCCCCCTTTCCACGTAATAATCGATTTACCTTCTGCCAGATAAGTATTGATGTTACTGTAGCGTATGGCATTTCTAACTTTTCAGAGTGCTTTCATGTTACCTCTTGAGATAGGGAGGAAAATGCCATTACTTGTAAAAGGTGAGAAAGAAAGCACAGAGATTTACTTACTGACTTGCCCAGACTAGAAACTAGGTTTTTTTGGAATTCAGCTTGGTATATTCTCCATAGATCCTCCTCCTCTCCTGAAAATGGTCCAAGTCACTTAGATCAATCTGTTTACTCCTTTCTTTGTAATGTAAGTGTACTTGATATCTTGTCTTCTGTTTAGTGCCTGAGATTGCAAGGAACTTCTTACATGAAAGTGTATATGTGAAAGCGTAGGCTCTTACTGGTTGATAATAGAATTTTTTCAGCCATGTTTATAATTACGTTGAGAATATAGCTTTCCTGAGATTCCAGATTGCTTTCTTTCAAAAAGAATTTTGTTCGGCATGTGTCTGGATTCTAAAAATTGATATCCTCTCTTACCAAAAAATTAGTTTCAAAAAGTCTTCATTAAAGGAGGAAACTTGGAAACCTGAAAGTTCGAGATAGCTTGGAGTTTTTGATAACCAAGTTTACACAGGAAGACACTTAAAAATCAGTATACTATAGTAAATGTGGTTTTCGGTCAGTCTGGTTCCTTGTATCTCTCCTTAGTCTCTGGTCAGGTTGTGTCTGTGAAAGAGAGAAAGGGTGATTTTTATTAACCTTGGATCTGCACATTGATTACTACTTACATGTCACTTTCCTCTAAGAAGACATAAACTCTTCTGCAGACTTTACCTTGAAAGGTACCTCACATGATTTGCAAAGCCTGATTAATGGAGTTAATTTTATAACAACTCTAAAGTAGTCAACATTTCCCAACATACATGTATTTAATCTGAAAATTAGAGTCAGACAGTGTAAAAGTTCAGTTTTTAGAGTAACTTGCTGAAACAAACATTTACTAAGAATAAATGGAGAGTCAGGTACTATAGTAAAGGATTTCACTTTATCGTGTTTTATCTTTATTACAACCCTGTAATAGAGGATTTTTTTAAATTCCCATATGAAAGGTGACAAAATAAGCTTAAAGAATATGTTACTCAAGGTCACAGAACTATTAAGCAGAGTCAAGATTTGAACCCAGGTTTTCTGAATACAATACTGGTATTCTTTCTGTGGTACCATTCTTTTCCTTCCTAGTGTTTGGCATGAAGGTGGTCAAATGCTATTTCACTTAGTAATGTCTTTAGTGGCAAGTGCATTCTGTATACACTTTTTTTTAGCTTTCTGTAAAAAATATTTGAAGGGAAAATATAACCAAAATGTTTTAAATTGCAAGTTTTGTAACTCAGTCTTCAAAATAATTTTCAGAGATAAGTTTTAATTCAAAGTTGTTTTTCAGAGATAAGTTTTAATTCAAAGGAGTCAAAGGAACTATGGTGTAGAAATAATGGTAAAAGCTGGATTTAGATTGTATGAGTCTTACCTATTTTCCTGTCTACTAGATTTACATTTATTATATTTGATTCCACATAGAATGTATTACAGGTCCAAAGTCCCTAGTTTGAAACCGTTGGGGGCTATATGTGTTTGGAAGTTCAAAATTTTTCAAAAATTTAAAAAGAATAACAGGATGCCTATACTGTATGTGTGATGTACCATTACCAGTGAGTCTGGGTTAGTGCTCCTATAGTCAAACATACTAGTATCTCTGTAGTAAAACTTAGGAGTTTTCACACTAAAAAAAAATTCCTAAAAAGCCTTCATTGTTTACCTGTCATCCTTATCACTATATAAATTATGAAAAAAATTGGTTTTCAGAGCTTTTTGAATTTCTAAATTGTAGATCAGAGACTGTGGACCTTTAGCAGCAGCAGTCCCTTTCTCAACATCACCTGAAACTCAATAGAGCTATCGTTACCGAACAACTCATTTTGTGCCAGTAATTCTGCCAGGTACTTTACACATTTTCCAAAATCTTGAGACAACTCTTCAAACAAGGTATATATCATCCCTATTTCCTATGTGAGATGGCTGAGGCTTGGATAAATTAAATAACTGTCTCCATTAACCTAACCATTAAGAGATGAAGTAGGAATTTAGA